CTTGAGAGATCAAGATTGGTTAATTTGTGAGAGGTGGTTCGGGTGAATTCGTATGCGTCCACACCATATTTTGAACTGTTAAATCAACACACCCACGAGAGTTGAATCTTTCTTTTGAGTGTGATAGATCAAATAGTTGTTAATTAAACGAATCACTCGTTAGCTATCAAACGAACCAAACTCGAGCTCATTTAAAGCTCGTTCAGTTAACAACCCGAGTTCGGCTCGGCTTAATAACGCCCGAAAAGATGATTTTTATGATTTTTTTATAGTTCGGCTCGTTTGTACCCATAATGTGAGTTTCTAAGGTATTAATATACTAGGATCTTCTTATTTTCATAAAATTGTAGTATATCTGTTTTTTGATTTTATATACCATTACCTGACTAAGGATACTGTGGTCTCAAATGCCTTGGATCATGCTAAGATGCTAATGGTCTCAAATACCCTCCAAGCATGATTTTTCTCTTTCATTGGGGAGAAAAGTTTAGCTTAGCAAATCGAACCCTAAGACATAAGTCAAAAAAAAGTAGTTTCTCCATGCCTACTTACAGGTTGGGAATAAAAGTTTAGCTTAGCAAATCGAACACTAAGTCATAAGACAAAAAAGAGTAGTTATTCCATGCCTAATTACAAATGTTTTTTCTAAGTAGACGGACTCAACTTGGACACATTGAGAAGCATAACCAGTTTCTTTTAGCTATGTCCTTGTTTTTGAGGCACCTAAGAGGGTAGTTGGATGGCGCATTTGTTGATTTGTGGGAGTTTAGAAGATATGCCGATGCCTTCCTCCATTCATTTACCATCTTGGTATCATCATCATTAGTAAGACGCATAATTATTAACTAAAGCATTCAAGAGGCTGTGGAATCTTGTGGATTTTGCCATATAATCGACCAAACTATATGCTTTTGAGAGTTGTACTTAATTATTAAGTAGTAATCAACTCCATTTGAAGTGGAATTTTTCCAAATGCAAGTCGCTCTTTACATTTATCATAAATCTGGCCAAGTCCCCATAATCGATAATGTTGTGATTCTTGCATCAGTGATCTTTCTTCTCGGGCATCTCTCCAAAACTTGTTCAACTCCAACTTGTGTGCTATCACATATAAGTTGTCTCTTGTCCTCAAGCTCATCAATGGTTTCTTCCTCTACAACATCTTATCCTGTCCTCATCTTCTGGTTTCACTCTTTTACGACACTAGCCAGAGGTCTTCCTCCCAAGAGTGTCATTTCGTAAAACATTTGCCGCTTCCTTAAATGTTGGCCGTTTGGTTCGGCAATACAAGGCAATTGTGGCACTTCACGATCTCTCCGGTGTAATTCGCAATATTCTTCGAGCACTTTATGGCAAATAGGTCGCTAAAGTGATGAGCGACCTTAATTGTTCTTCACGAATAGGTCGTGAAGTGCCACAATTGTTTTGCGTTGCCTAAGTAAGCAACAAATATTCAAGGAAAACGGAAAATGTTTTACGAAATAACACTCTTGGGAGAAAAAACGAAGAAACACTCGAATGATCGGTTCTCTTCATCGTTATCTGGAAAAAGAATGAAATCAATGAATGGGGGATTAGGGTCAGATGTATAGGAAGGAACATTGGTGAGCTGTTTAACTATCAGGTGCAAAACAGGGACATGTGCAAGAAGAACTGACTATGTTTCTCAATGTCTCCAATAAGTCCCTCTCTTAGATACAAACACATTTGCCATTAGGCTGGATGCTCAGCTCAGAAATAATTGTTTTTTGTCTTGAGTGTGTGATTTGTTAAACTAAATTTTCTACACGAGTTTACTATTGCTTTGTGGTTTGATGGTTTGTAAAGAGTTGTGGTTTTTTTATTTTATTGTATCATGTTCCTGCTTTATGATTATGTGGTTTGTAATGACTTGTGGCATGCGTGTGTAGCTAACATAATTGTTATATTTAGAGAAGATTTCCTACATGGAAGTGAGGAAAAAAATAATAAAAGAAAATGGATTAAAAGAAATCAGTTACACCGTCCGGCGTCCATGCGACTTTGTTTTTAGGAAAAAACGAACCAATATGCAGTGAGAATTGAAAACTTGACTTTGCGTTATCAATTCTGGAATTGACCTTGTAACCTTTGAGAGTTTGCCGTGAGATTGAGAAATGGAGAATGTCATTGCTTCTGAAATGTTAGGCCTGTTGGCTGTAGATACCCACGGTAATTAGGACTGCCACTATATTTGGTCGGTGCTCGAAATATGCAGCCTCAACTGTGATGATTGATTTTTTCTTTTTTTTTTCCTGACATTTTTATCTGGAATGTCCTTTTCTGCGTTCGGATTTGATGTGGCGAAAGGTTGAATAAGGAACGTTGATTTTAGAGAAGGATGTGTGTGTAGATATGATGAACTGATTTTTATTTTTATTTTTTTCTTTGAATGGTTTTGTTTATTCTTTTGTTGGATATATGTGGTTATGGTGTATTGGTTCCTTTTTTTCCTACTGTAAGTTATGAGTTGTGTTATGACCCTCAAGGGTATAGTGTAGTGTAAAATGCTGTTATTCCTTTCCTTTTCTTGTGTTTGTGTTTGTCCAATATAAATTACTAATGCTTAGTTAGCTTTGATATTCTTGTTTTTGTTTTCACTTTGGAGACTCTTTGGTGAATATTCTTGAGTTGGTTTTCGTTTAAACTTGCATGAATTTGTGTTGATATTCTTTTGTTATTTATCACTTAATTGAGATGAATGATCATTTGTTGCGTAAGAAGGCATTGACTTTTTTGGCCTTTTTTGTTAGCCAAGTGATGTGAGAAAATGAACAAAATGTTAGATGCTGTTTTTCTTGAACACAAAATCGATTCAGACTCCAGATCCTCCTCTGAGCTTGCCAAAATTGATAAGAACACTTCTTTCATATACAATCACTAAATATTTTACAAAACTTGAATAATGAAACTGCACCTAAGATTATAGATGACACTAATCTCCAGTTAATTGCTATTGGTAACTGATTACACTAATTACCATACTCCATTCAGTAACAAATATGGCGACACACAAGTCTGCAAAATTTTACTGCTCATCACAAAGAGATACTACAATGTGAAATAGAAAAAAGATAAGTAGTAAACAACGCTGCAAGCACTTATGAACAGTTAGATAATATATACAACAATGCTCTACAAATATAGAGAATGCGCAATAATGACCATACACAAGTAGACTATGTAATAGCCTCTGCTCAATTTTGGTCACAATTAGTGTACCTTATGTTAAATTCATTTGTTCATGGAATGCCAAACCTGAAGCCCATACAGAAAGACACGTAAGACCATCCCGAAGCTGAAATAGCTCATTTCAAGCTACGAATGTTTCTCATTATTATCCCACTTCATTACAAGAAAATAATGATGAAATTTCAACGAAAATATATTCCAATAGAATTTCAACGGCAATTTCAATGGATATTTCAATGTTATTATTTCCGTTGGAATATTCCAACGGAAATTCCTACAAAAATATTCCGTTGGAATGAGTTTTTCGTTGGAATTTCTGTTGGATTTTGATAATTTCAACGGTGGTGGAAATAAAATTCCAACGAAAATTGCATATTCCAATGAAAATTCCTACAGTAAAAAGCCGCTGAATCATCAAATTCTAACGAAAAATACATTCCAACGGAAGCTATACAATTGGATATCCGTTTGAATTTCCATTGAAATATATTACCATAGAATTTTCCGTTCTAATATAATAGTGTTCTGCCTTCAAATCAAAATTTGTATGTTCACTACTGGGAGTACCTCAAGTAAGGACAAAGGAAAAAGAGAAAGCAGAGATAAGCTTGATAATTATCCTCCAATAGCTCCAAGAAGAACATCTCAGATTGAAAGACTCAGTCTTAATGTTGAAGCATATATGTTTATGGAGTGGAAAGGTTTTCTCTTCTCAATATACAGACCAATTATAATCTACTCAAGTGATTCATCATCTCTAAAACCAGAACAGCACCAAGACCGCACTTTGGTTAAGCCAACTAAATCAAATTAAAATCGAATTGAAATAAAATCATTCAATTGAATCGATTAACCATAATTTTAAACCCAACCAGATGCTTGACCCGGACAGGTCTTCGGATCACCGAGTCAATTGCTGAACCGGGTAATAATTTTAAAAATTTAAATATATATATATATATATATAGCATTATTATTATATAAATATGTAGAAAATTAGCAAAAGTAAATATTTTGTATATGAATTTTATATATAAAAGTGTTCATAGTATTGTATATGATAAGAAATATTTATCACATAAATATATATACATAGTTTTTTATTTGTAAGATAAAGAACATATTTTAAAAAATAAAAAAGTAATAAAAAAAAATATTGACTGGGTGAAACCGAGTTGACCCAGCCGGGTCAATACCCGTGTCGCCCGGGTTGACTGGGACCAAAACACCCACCTGGACCGGTCCCGGATCAGGGTCAGACCTGCCAGGCCAGTACGGGTTATTTCCATTTTTATTTAGAGTATTCAATAAATACTTAATTAACTTACTCATTTATTAAATTTATAAAATCTTATGTTGTGAATATTTCGATTTTCCAAGTCAGTTGAGCAAATGAAGTAGTTCAATTCAATAAACTTTTGTCCTTCTAATGTCATGTACATACTTAACATTTGGTATAATTGTTTACAGTTTACACTTATAGGTATTTTTGTTTTTTTTTTTTGCTGCATAAATTTTACAAAAGTGTATATAGTCTCCTACGTAGTACCTAGACTTGTTTTAACTTTTTAACTTCCCCAATTCGTAAACTGTTCACTTTCAGTTTCCCATCATATTCATGATGCATGAATCAAAAATCATTATAAATAAATACCTCATTCTCAAGAGACCAAATGCACCAGTATTCCATAACAAACCTAATTTCCTTACATACTTCTTATTAGAGCAAACAGCTGAAAAAAATATGGACACCAAAAATTGCTGTAGCGGATGTGCTGGAATTGACCAGAATTACTCTTGCTTGAACCATGTCAAAAAGTCAACAGTTTATCCCGTTGCCAATGTTAAGCCTGAGACCACTGCGAAAAACGAGGTCAAACCCAACACCGTTACTGGAGTTAAGCACGCCGTTAAAAAGGAAGAGCCTGTGAAGGTGAATGTGGCTGCTAATAACAAGTTTTATAATTAGCTATGCGTGAATGAATAATGAAGGCTTAATAAGTAATATAATGAAGGTTTTTTATATTTTATGTTATTGAATAAAGTCAAATGTTATCAGACCAACTGCCCGAGTGATGTTATTAACTTATTATGGAATAAAATCTGGATTAATTTTCTTTTTGTTGAGGAATGGTATACTTGTCCTCGTTTTCATTTTTGTTTCTGTGTAATTAATTAGTTTTAATTTTTGCAATTAGATTGATTTTTAAACATCAGTAACCTTTATAACTATATCCAATATTATCTACTTTCTTGATTTAACACCACTAAAATGAGCTAGGATGTTAAAATTACAAAAACGGTCAGTATAAAAGTAATATGAATTTAACAAATGAATAAAGATGGATATTCTTGGTGTAAATTATGAGATCAAAGTTCATAGAAAAGTAATTATGAGATAAAAGTTGATTAGTGATGTAATTAGCTTAGATGCGTCATCATAGGACAAATCAAACAGAGCAATTAAACTTAGTATCAATAGGCCGGTGCCCGTGAGATTAGGTCTACTACAAAGATTGGACATCATTGGTCTCATGTGAATGAAGCAGATTTGGCGCCACTCACAAGACATAAACGAGTGGGGATAATTTTTTTTGTTGAATGCAATTATTTTGAGATATGTCCGTCTATTGTTTCATCAAATATATTTGGTGAGACATTCGCAAATGAGATTCATACACACACCATTTTTAGGATGGCAAAGTCACCTTCAACAACCCATTGTTTTGTTGTTCACCACCTTTTTCGCTATTATAGGCAAAATTGCAATTTATGTCCTCTAATTTTTGGTATGACAAATATGAACACTTTTTGTTCTTTGGAAAATTAGGACATATTGGACATTAACTGCATGATTTTTCAAATTATTGTCCTAATTTGTCGGGGTTTTACTGGCAAATGAGGACAATAACTTGAAAATCAGACATTTTTCAAGTTACTGCCCTAATTTGCTAACAAGATGGCCATATTTATCAAACGCCACAAGTTACAAGGTATAACAAATTGAAATTTTTCGTAGAAAATAAATTTATACTTCAAATTCATACTTTAAAGTACAAATAAAATAAAAATATAATATTTTATAGTATAAGATTGCATTTTTTAAAAATGTATGATTGACTAATTGTTAGTCACCCTAACAGTAGCATTTATGTATATTTATAACAATAGCCAAATATATATATATATAATAAATAAAAAATGAATGAGTTCTTTAAATTTTCTTTTGAAAAGTATCGAAGGTTCATAGATACACCTTAATTAGCAAGTTAATGTCATGTGTGTAATTGCAATGATCAATTTTGTTTATTGTTATCTTAATCACAACATGAAACATTGAATTATAACAGCATTTCTGCCTTTTGATATAGTAAATCATTGTTAAAAAAGTAACTATTTATGTAACTAGCAATATCACCTTGGAGCCAAAGTGATGATCAGTTACTTTCTAAAATAAACAGAATTTTTCTTGCAATGTCCAATTTGCATGCACCTAATCTAGCGACCTCCCACATAAAGGAATCTTCCTTTAAACTAGGGATCTCAAGTGCATTTTTCTCCATTTAATTTTATTTTATTTTTTTCTCTACAAATACCCCCTAACACAACACAAGAAAGAGCTACAACTCATCACAAAGTCCCCTCTCTTTGCTTCATTATAGCTCAATTCCTCTCCATCCATATTTTCCACTTCCTTTAGAGTACAAACTAATAAAAGTCTATCATAAAAATGACTAAAGCCTTTGCTTGTTTGGTATTAGTCATTGTTATCCTATCAAACAATGTCTTTCATATGACGGGTCGAAATTTGAAAGTTGAAAAACATTCGAATAGTGGTCAAGTTAAGTACGTGACTACTTTCCCAAGCCCTGATGAGTCAGGTGGGCACAGAGTTACACTTGATGAAGAAAATTCAAATGCTTTCCGGCCCACAAAACCTAACCCGAATACCGATTTAGGTCACTCGTCCAAAGGGAAAAGCGTTAAAGTTGATGAAGAACATATGAGTGCTTTTCGAAGTACGAACCCGGGTCCTAGTCCGGGTATAGGTCATTCTATAATCAATGGTCACTAAAAGTGTTCTCTTTTTGCCTTTTATGTAATATATGTATGCTTTTTTTTTTTTCGAAAC